GTTTCAAATAAATTACTGATTTATCTATTTTTTTAAATTGTAGTTCTGCCTGCTTTTTTGCTTTATGTACTTGGAAGTTATATGGAAGATAGTTTTATAATTACTATAGCTTATTTACATATTGTTTCTTTATCAGCATGTTACTCAAGCATTTGTGTCTTATGATTTTTTTTCTATAGTTTTTTTTCTGATATTGAAATTATTATCCTGGATTTTTTCAGACACATTTCTCTGATATGCATTTTTCTGTCTTTTTCTCCCAAAATTTTTTGCAAAATGTTTTTAAAAAGTGTTTAGTTGACAACATATTGTTAAGTCTTTTTTTTTTTAAAGATTTTATTTATTTATTTGACAGAGAGACACAGCGAGAGAGGGAACACAAGCAGGGGGAGTGGGAGAGGGAGAAGCAGGCTTCCCGCTGAGCGGGGGAGCCTGATGCGGGGCTCGATCCCAGGACCCTGGGATCATGACCTGAGCCGAAGGCAGACGCTTAACAACTGAGCCACCCAGGCACCCCTTGTTAAGTCTTAATATTTGTTAACATCTAGTTGGAGAATCTCTTTATTTTGCTATGTGAATTCAACCTTTGCATTTATATTAAGTTGTTTATTTTTGGTTTTTTTGTTCTGTTTTTTTAAGTTGTTTGTTTTGTTTTGTTTTTAACACGGGTCTTGAACTCATGATCATGAGATTAAGATCTGAGCTGAGATCAAGAGTCAGACACTTAACTGACTGAACCACCCAGGCGCCCCACATTTATTGTAATTACGGTAATATTGAAAGCTATTTTTGCTCTCTTTCTGTGCTTCCTATGTATTATATTTTCTTTTTTTTTTTATTTTTCTCCTTTCCCACATTCTATTTGATGAATCAGTATTTTTTAGTTCTGGCTTGAAAGTTATTTACTCCATTTTTATTCCTTCATGCTATCCTTAGCTCATATGTGTTTTTGGTTTTCTCATCAGTTTCTATCACAGGACTTCTCTTCCCCTGGACTTGCCCTACCCACCTTTTCCTGGTGACTTGTTTCTCCCTACACTAGGAACTGTGTATCACCCAGGGTTTTAAGTCCAAGTCATGAATAGACACTTTGGAGGTGTGGGGTCACGGCTAGTTTAGACAAAAATATGCTTTTCTAAGTTATTTATTCACTCTTAGCACTGTTCTTGCCTTAGTCACTTTCTCCTTTGTACCAACAGTATCCATTAACATCTATTTATCATCGTTAAGGAAAATCTGCATAAAGAACTCCTCAACTGGTCCTCCAAGTTCTTTTTTTTTTTAAAGATTTTATTTATTTGACAGAGAGAGAGAGAGAGGGAGGAAGAAAGAGCACAAGCAGGGGAAGTGGCAGACTGAGGGAGAGGGAGAAACAGGCTCCCCATTGAGCAGAGATCCCTGCATGGGGCTCCATCCCAGGACTCTGGAATCATGACCTGAGCCAAAGGCAGAGGCTTAACTGACTGAGCCACCCAGGTGCCCCTCAAGTTCTTAAAAACAGGGATTTTGTGCTTTATGTATTGTTGTGTCACCCAAGGTATTATGTGAAATATACTGGATACTGATAGATATTTTTCAATTGATTCTTAGATGAATGAACATTCCTCAGGTCACTTAGAACACTCCTGACCATTGACAGACATCACGGAACATTCACTGAATTTAAGAAAGTTGGATCATGACAGGCCATTAAAAGCTTTGCCTTTAAATTATGTGCCTTTATTGCTTGTTTTCTGCGCTTCTCAAACCAATTTGTTTTCTTTTTCCCCTTTGCAGTCAAATCTCAATCAAGACACTAGGTGCCTTATAGCTCTTGCTTTCCAGCAGGTTAACTTGTTTTCCAGCAGGTTACCTTGTCATTTTAAGCCATAATTTAAAAAAAAAAAAAGAAAAAAGAAAGAAAGAGAGTGCGTGATTGCTCTAAAAGAGTTTATGAAAAATACCTTGAAGAATTTGACTTCAGTAGCTTCTACTTTGACAAGATTTTCTTAGCATCTGCTAAAGATGTTTGATAAACAGTATCTCTGTTGCGAGCTCAATTAATTTTTAATAAGAGAGCAGGAAGTCTATAGTGACTGAAATATGAAAGGGACGAATGAAGCAATCTATTCATTCCTGATAAAGAAAATTAGAAAAAAGTCTGAGGAGGCAAGAGTGGGCAAGAGGCCCTGTTTTCCCATGTTGAGTTTTTGATTGATTTGGAAATGTTCTGGGAAAGGCAGAAACAATGAAAGGTCTAGTTATGTCAGCTTTTTGTCTTGCAAAATAGCCCAGTATGCTTTCCTTATTCTAGAAAAGAAGTCCAGTGACCCAGTCAGACACTATACTCTTTACCATCTTTCTTTAGTAACTAACAGGCAAGAATTACCAACATGGAGTAATAGATTTTATTCACTCCTCCCACTTTCTCATCATGCACTTAAAAATTTTTTTGGAGTCCACAGTCTCTCATGGTCCATCTCCCCCTCCGATGTCCCCCCTTCAAAAAAAAAATTTTGGGGGGACTCCAGATTTGACCCTCATCATTCTAATCACATTTGTCTTTGCTATAGATAACAATGGCACTTTATTCAATTACCTTAAAAAAATTTTTTTTGGTAGCATTTGATACTGTTAAACAGATCTCAGCAGTTTCTTTTGAGATTGAATGATATTGATTTTAATTTGCTATCTATGACCATCCCTTGACTGGAAACCTTCCAACAATCTCTAAATGCTGGCATTTCTAAAGGGTCTGTTGTTTCCCTCTACATCCTTTCCCTTCAGAAATGTTATCTTATTGTTTGAAACACTTCCTTTACGGCTTTTAATAGTGTATCCCCAGGTCTAACTCCTCCTTTTGGTTTTATACCTAAATTCCCCAAAACACGAATATATTAAGATGGGATTTATCAATACTCCCTTTCACGTTTACTTCTCATCCTATGTTTTCTTTCTCTGTTAGTATTTCCAGTATGATTCTATTTGCCTAAGCTTTGAACTCATCTGCTCCCAGAGGCTTCACATCCATTTTGGATTGAAACAAATTAAGTGTGGTAGGTTCTGCCATCCCAAAGTATGTGCCTTTTGCATAAGGATTATTTTGAGCTACAGGCATTTGAAAAACAGCAAATGCCAGAAGGGCACTTTAATCTCCCCCTTTTTTTTTTCGTTCTGAAAACAGGAGTGTTCCTATACCAGGAAAAAAGAAACATCTTCAATGGGGAATCGAAGCCAAGAGAATTCTGTACAGATCTTGTTAAAATAATTCTTTATCTTCCTTTAGGTTCCTTCCCTGCATAGTTTACCTGCCTTTTCACAATTCCTTCTTCTTGTCCAAACTGGTATAAAAACATTTAGGTTTTGTCATTTCTCAGAGTCTTCATTTCATTATGAGGGATCCCATGTTACATAAAACTTACATTAAATAAATTTGTATTTTTTCTCCTGTTAACTCGTTTTATGTCTGTTCAATTCTCAAGCCCACCTGAAAAAGGGTAAGAAGGTAAGATACAATTCTGCCTCTTCTATGGTATCATTTTTCTACCTTCCACATCATTCCCCTTTGTCCCTACTGCTACTCCTTGTTTTGGAATATTATGAAACCTTCTTAAATAACCTTGATTCATTTGGCTGAAAGAATCTTTAAAGAAGATTCATTTTCTTGCTCCTAAATCTTGAACAATTCCTCCCTGCCTAGTGGATAACATCCACCATGTCTGGTTTAGTAATGAGGGCAACTGTTTGTCTTCGACTATTTTGCACATGATTTTTTTTTTCTTGATACCCTTCTATGTACCTAATTTTGCAACCAAGATACAGAATCAGCCTGTCCTCAAAATGCCTTCATGGTATAGCTCAAAAAAAAAAAAGAAAATCTCCATTGCTGAGAATCTTTTCTTGCCCCACCCCATTTATATTTCTAAATAGTTCCCCCAACTAAAATTACATTCTTTTATTTTCCTTTCCTTTGCTCAGTACTTTATTCATGTGTACGCTTAACATTTAAGAACTACTTATAAAAGTAATGCATTTAAATTTAACAAGAAGGGGTTATTAACGTTAAAAGGTATTTCCACTTCCTTACTTGAAGGGAAACCAAATGTAGAGGAATGGCCGCATTCCCCCATGAAGTAGGCTCGCCATCTAGCGACAGATCCTCTGCATTACAAACCTTGCCTCGGAGACCTACCTTCCAATTTTCCTCAAGGAACATGTCAGACTTTTTTTTTCCTGATATAACACAGTACTACAAGAAAAAGATTGCATAATGCTTACATTTTTATGCCGTTAAACACTGAAAATCAATTAAGTTTGGGTTGATTCTATAGATAAGGTCAAAGAAACAGAAAGACCTGAAATTTTTGTGTTAACATTAATCAGTGATGCACGTGGATCCACTTTGAAATCGAAAGTTAAAGGAATGCTTGTAAGCTTGGATAAATCTCTGATCAAGTGTGAGAAATTTCTCTTCTCCTGAGATAACACGCATAACATCCCCAGCAGAGCACGCTCTCAATAAACTTTCGCAAAACGGCGCAAAGTAAGCATAAGCTTTGGAACCAGGGGATTTGTTGTCACCACCTCCATAAATTGGAGCACAATACTCAAGCACTCAAAATGACCATTTTGACATGTGGAAACATGGAGACAGCAATATCTTTTTTGTGAGTATTGAAAATAACATACAAAATGCTTGGTCTGTAGCAGGTACCCAATGAAAAAATGGCGGCTTGATATTAATGATTATTATCTTTTTTACCTTTGGTAACTTGTATAGAGACATAGCTGTTTGTCAAGCATAAAAACTGTTATTGTTAGGTCCTCAATTTATTTATTATAGTACAGACTGCATGTGTTGAAAGAGATTACTTTCATTACGTGGTGACAGATAACATGACTATTTAGTAAATATCTGACAAAAAATATTACATAATTATAAATTATCTACATAATCCATTAAAATTTATATTGACTATACTTTTTAAAGTGTTCAGAAAAATTAAGTTGTCCATACTTACAACTTTCCAGTTGCATTATACATGTTTGTACATCCATTGGAAAATTCTTGAGATCCATTGGACAAGAAAGTGTTAATGTCAATCTGAAAGAATTCAAAGGAATTATTTTTCTTATTATGTTATGTTAATCACCATACATCACATCATTAGTTTTTGATGTAGTGTTCCATGATTCATTGTTTGCATATAACACACAGTGCTCCATGCAGTTCGTGCCCTCTTTAATACCCATCACCAGGCTAACCCATCCCCCCACCCCTCCCCTCTAGAACCCTCAGTTTGTTTCTCAGAGTCCATCGTCTCTCATGGTTCGTCTCCCCCTCTGATTTGCCCCCCTTCATTCTTCCCCTCCTGCTATCTTCTTTTTTTTTTTTTTTTAACATATAATGTATTATTTGTTTCAGAGGTACAGGTCTGTGATTCAACAGTCTTACACAAACTAATTATTTTTAAAAGTAATTTATGATATCATATGAATATTCTGCTGTTCAGGGTACAACTGGGAAACAAGCTTTGGCTAGTGACTAACAACTCTTCGAATAAAATTTGCTCCAGCGTGAGTATGTTATTTACTATGAAACAGCTGTACCTTTATATATAAATCTGTTTTTCAGGGAGGAGAAAAGCTGTATATTTAAGCATCCAATCACATTTATTTATTTTGCTCAATCATTAATTCCTTTACAGAGGACTGTAGATGTCTACAAAAGGTCTATATTTCCAGAAAAGACCCTCACAAAGAAATCTGAGAGTGGGTTCCATAAAATTAACACCAAATGACAAAGGGCACAGTTCCCCAAGATCACATGTACAGCGTGTTTGAGGAGGCAAGTATATCCATGGAATTGGAAAAAGAGGGTGTAAGAAGGAATCTGTGTGACAACTTTCAGTCATCTCTGAAACATTGAAGTTGTCAGTGAACATCCAGCAGACATCAGAGGAAAAAAAACCTGAATCTGGAGGACTTAAAAATTCTAGCTATTAGAGTGGGGTCCTCTGCTGTAGGACTAGGGCATTTAATCAGATTTTACCAGGATCAAGAAATAGCCTTCTAGAATCTGTGTGACATAATCCTATGCTCACCAAACAAACTTCTAATTTGGCTCACACAAAGTAGGATGACCTGGATGGTGTGCACCAGCATTCTGCCCATTTTCCCCTTCCAGAAAATATTAGTATGTTGGCATTCCAGATAATTCATAACTCATGAAAATATATTTTTTTATTGGAAGACATGCTCTTGAAAGATTAGCAAGAATTTGTAGTTCTTGGACCAAGGAAAAAGAGGCCCAGGTCGAAACAAATCCAAGTTTATTCAAATAAAGTTCTTACTGAGAACTCTCTAGCCAGCCCCTTTACTTAAAGTATTCCCATTGAAATTCAGCATATCAGTGAGCACCTTAGGTGGGTTTTTTTACTTAAGCTTTGTAGCCGTAGGTAGATTACTTTACTTCACTATATTTCAGGGTTCTCATCTCCAAAATGAATGTAATCGTAGTACTTGCTCTGGAGAAATGTTGTGAACAATACATGAGTTAATTCATGTAAAGTGCTTAGACAAGTATCTGACACAGAGTAAACACTCAATAAATATTAGTTATTAAGGACTACTAGTATTCTACCACCTCCAGACTCCTCCATCTTCCCCATCCCTGAGTTAAATAAGAAAAGCACAAAGGTGCCTGAATTAATCAAATATAAAGTCAGGGTACCTAGGTGGCTCAATTGGTTAAGCATCAGGCTCTTGGCTTTCATTCAGGTCATGATCTCATGAGTAGTGGAATTGAACCCAGTGTCGGACTCCCCACCCAGCGGGGAGTCTGCTTGAAGATTCTCCCCCCCCACCTGCCCCCCCATGCTCTCTCTCTCCATCTCTCTCTAAATGAATAAATAAATCTTAAAAAAAATTTTAAATCACATATAAAACTTATTTAAGCTTTAACAAAAAATAATCATCAGCACTACCAAATGTACCCACATTCTCCAAAATGGCATTTTCATGTAGACCATAGACATAAAGTTATAATAATGCATGTTCTACAGTGACTACAATTAACATAATTTGAGAGATATAAACAGACAGACACGTAAAGCTGTTGAATTTTTTAGAGTCCCAGGAGGATCTTTTGACAGCTCCTTCAAGTCAGAGTCCATAACACACTAAAATAATTCATAAGGTTCATTCTTCAAGAGCAATTTTCTCCTGGTTCAGCTAGGTTAAGTGATCCTGTATGATCTTGTAGATTTACAAAATTCTCTCTGGAAAAAGGCAACTGTAAAATAAGGTGGACACAATGTTCTCTGTCTTGTGAAAGGGTTCATTAGAAGTGTATGCACAAGTATATTTTGAACACACGCACATTAATTTTCCAAACATCCAAGGCTCTCGGGACAGCCGGTTTCAAATGTTGGCTTGGAGAATTAATTCTGTGACCTTTTGTATGAAAGTGAATAGCATTCTCAGAATCTTTTCCAAGCTCTCACCATGCATGTGATGTCAAATTCATATCCTGGCTATTTTTCTGGCATAAAATGAGAGACATTACATAATTCTTTTAAAAAGAAGGGCTTGAAAGGAATTATTTGGCAAAGAAAATCACTGTTTGTAGAGCTTCTGTCATAAATCATATCCTGAAAAACATCTGTTTATTGACATTCTTTCTTTTGTTTAAAGTACTATACAATTACTTCTTTAACAACAGACAGATGAAAAAATACATGTCAGCCTGATGGGTGTGATACTGAATTTCTTCATCAGAACTTTATATATAAATTAAAGATATGTTCTGACCACATAAAAGAAAACTAAATCAAAAGGCAATTAATCACATTCTACTGTTTTGGAAATGAATATCTTCTTGTGTAAGCGAGGACACTAAGTTCTCTTTGTGAGACAAGACACATAAACAGGATATGGTGTTTTTTATTTTCTCTTAAAAAGTCTTGGCTTGATGAAGTAGTAATGTTAAAATGGATGACTGTAATCTATGACAAACAGTTGACCTGATTAAAATGGAGGTATTGCCCATTTTTTAAAGATTTTATTTATTTGTTTGAGAGAATGAGAGAGAGCACAAGCAGGGGGAGAGGCAGAGGGAGAGGAAGAAGCAGGCTCCCAGCTGAGCAGGGAGCCCAATGCGGGGCTCCATCCCAGGACCCCGGGAACATGACCTGACCCGAAGGCAGACACCTAACAGACTGAGCTACCCAGGTGCCCCAGTATTGCCCATTTTTGAACATGCATTGCCTAGAGTATGGTGTCTATCTCAATCATTAATTAAGTATATACATATACTTAATATATATATACATACATATATATTTTATATTTCATATATTATATATAAATATATTTATATAATATATTTTATATAAATATATTTATATATAAAACTATATAAGTATATATGTTTATATATAATTATATATATATATATATAAAAAACTTTTCTGACTCCATTTTTGGCTCTTTATGAAACTGATAAGTATCTTTATTAGTTCCTAATTTTTCTAAATTTAATGTCGTAAGAACAATTATCTCTTTTTTTTTTAAAGATTCATTTATTTATTTGAGAGAGAGAGAGGGAGAGAACGAGCAGGAGGGGCAGAGAAAATCTCCAGCGGACCCCGTACTCAGCAGAGCCCAATCTCAGCCCAACCCTGAGATCATGACCTGAGCCAAAACCAAAAGCTGGATGCTCAACCGACTCTGCCACCCAGGACCCCAAACAATGACCTCTTGATTAACTATCAGCTTCGCAGTATTATCTGTAATATCATCATAAAGGTAATACATCTATTGTACTTACTATGTAGTAGACACTATTTTAAAAACTTTACAATTTCTCAACTCACTTATTCCCTCCTACAAATTTGTAAGACAGGTAAACAATATTACCTTATTTTAGAGATGAGGAAACTAAGAGGGCAACTCACCTGGGGCATTACAAAGCAGAGATTAATAGGGCAGAATTTGCAAATCTGGGAGTCCAGTTCTAAATTCTATACCCTTAACTGCTAAGTATACTGCCTTTGAAAGGCAATGGAACATTTTTCATGAAAATGAAAATGGGTTTTTTAATTAAATGATTTTTCAAATTTTATATTTATATAACACAAGAAATGACATTTCATTCAGCATTATTACACTTAAAGTAAAAGATACATAAGTGATTCTTCCAAAAAAATCAGAGAAATGTAATTAAACTTTAGAAAATATAAGGAGTTTCCCCATTGATTTTATGTATTTACTTGAGTGATTTGGTATTTTATTATGATTCTATAAAGATCGAAAAACGCTCAGGAGAGATTAGATTGTTGGATTGTAACTAATGTTCTAATCTGGAATTTTGTTGTCATCCGATTTTAGAGATCATTTTAAAGCTTGTCAACCCATCACCAGTGGAATCTCCATGTTGTCAACGGTTCCTTCAGGAAGTTGATGTAAGCTTTTCTTCAGAAAAATATGCATAATCACACACATGCAAAATTCTCCTCACAAAATCTATTTTATGGTATTGTAAATTGATTGCCCTTGAATAAACAACATCTTCAAATGCGTCTGTTGATAGTTTGTTTTTCTATTAAAAATTAATATTCAAAATAAATACATATTGTATAAGTAAGCCTTAATTCTTTTCACAACAGAATTTCAAAGAAAGAGTGATTATATTTAGTTTAAATAAAAGTTGAAATTGTGTTATGATCTTTGACAAGTCTCTGTGCATAGCATTTTTGATCTAAAATTTCTTCCTATTATTTGATTTCTAATACACTAATGCTCCTTAATATAAGCAGTAAAGCTGGATGTATTAGTATGTATTAGTAGTATTAGTAAAGTAAGTAGTAGATAATATTAAACTGCCTCTGATGTGCTTCCATTATCTTGTGATGAGGATTTTGCCATCCCCCCTTTCCAAGTGATAAAACGGAAACTTACATTAATAACTTGCAAGTGTCCACACAGTGCTAATTTACAAATTCTGGAGAACACCAGCACTTATACTTTTTGGGGGGTTTTGTTTTCTTTTGAGGAGGATACAAATAACAACTTTACTATCTGTTGTATGCCTGGCACCATGCTGGGGCTTCACATACATTATTTTAGGCTCAAGGTAATTAGCATTTTCACTCTCATGCATGTAAGAAAAATTAGCCTTTCACACGCAGAAGTTTGCCCCAAATACAGCTGGTAAATCGTAGAACCTGGATCTGGCTTGGGAGAAACAGTCGTCTGTGGGCCTCTGTGCGTTTTGCTACCCCACTTGCTGGGTGTGCCAAGACTGTAAGCCCTGGACCATTCTTTTACCTGAGCCATTTCTCAGGGTTGTTTATGCAGCTGCTAATTTTGAGAGATGAGATAACATGTTCTTCTGGACAAAGAGGAGGCTTGTTTACCGCTTGCTATAAAGGCAGTGGATTCCCCAAACTCAGTGTTCCACAGCTGGGACGCAGATACACAGTGTGTGTTACATCCATCAGGGCCTAATGCTGTGTTCCAGTGAAACTTGAGGGCAAGGAAGAAGTTAGGTAAATTCACTGATGCCCGTGTTGCTTGCTTGCAGTAAGTAATACATTCCTTTATCTCTGACCCAGTGTTGTGTCTTCTGTCAGCATCCATAAAATAAGTAATAGGCTAATTTTATAAGTAGAGTAAAACCAAATCCCAACTTGGACCATCTAAGGGTCATGCAGCTGGCTCCAAAGCCCTCCCTTGAAAAGGACTTGATTTACAAATTATCGGTATAATTCATGGACATCATTTAGAAGTTCAAACATTAGAGAAAGCATATAAAAAAAAAGTTGTATTTTTGCCCTACCCATCTACCCCCAGTTCAGTTCTAGCTCCTCGGAAGTAGCCTCTCTTTAGATACTCGTCTAGGATTTGCAGTCATATATCTCAATTGCTATTATATTATGCTTGATTTTTTAAATTTGTGAAATTGTCTATTAATTTCTTCCAAGGAAAAAATTTCTTTTATACCACACTCCATGTACTTAACTCTCCCTTAATACTCAAAATTTAGTTATATAAATATTTATGGTTAAATTAATATTCAGTGTTTACATGTTATGAATAAGTACTGTTCGTGGTTAAGCATAGTAGTTTGCTATAATTATAACTCTCATGTAGCATTTTGTTTTTCCTGGTACGAATAATTGTCTCATTTTAATAGTCAACAAATTCCCTATCAGACCTACAAATTCAACAGACTCCCTAACAGAACTACAAAGTCCCTCTAGATGGTCAATACAGCAGGTAATCTATCAATTCCTTGTTTTTCATGGAAACTTCTGTTTTTTTCTGTTCTTTCTTTCTGGTCACATATTAAGTCTTTGTATTGATGTCCTGATTTTCACATTCTTTCTCCTCTATTTCTTTGTAGCTTGATTTTACTTGGGAGATGTCTTCACTTCATCTTCCAAATATTCTACTGATTCTTTTTTTCACTTTGGTTTACTATTTGCTCCTGTTATGGTCTGAATGATTCCTTTTATTCCTTTCTTATTTCATGCATGCAGTTGTCTCAGCTGTCCAGAGATTTTTTTTTTTTAATTCTCTGCATTTTCTCTTATGTCAATCCTTTTCTCTTTCTTTAATTTTCTCCTCTATTCTCTTCATTTCCTCTGTGTGTTTCTTTTGGCCTCTGCTTCTTTTTTCTTTTTTTTTTAAGATTTTATTTATTCATTTGAGAAAGACAGAGAGACAGAGAGAGCACAAGCAGGGGGAGAGTGAGAGGGAGAGGGAGAAGCAGACGCCCCGCTGAGCTGGAAGCCCAACATGGGGCTCGACCCCAGGGTCCTGAGATCATGACCTGAGCCGAAGGCGGACGCTTAACCATCTGAGCCACCCAGGCGCCCCATGGCCTTTGCTTTGCTTCTTTTTTGATTGTTAATATTATAGAATGCTCTCAAATGTCTGTTTTTATTTAAGAATGAGGCAAGAAAAATCATTTGGAACTCAGTTAGTAGCAGATGGTTCATTGAGTAATAGTCTTAACAGTAGGATAATAACATGGCTGTGCAGATTTTTCCTTGGTGGCTCCCCAATTGCCAGTATCTGTAGATATTTTCCCAGAGGTATATTCTTCTGACTGCTACTGCTCAGTGGAAGAAGTTTAGGACTGGCTTTCAGTATTTTAGGGAGAACAAAGGTTTCACCATACAGTGTGCAAACCTCATGTAATCTCCATTTTCCCAGTATAAGGTCACATGACAGATGCCAGCTATGCCTGGAGTCTCTACTCCTGAAGCTCTTGGCACAACCTCACCCAGATTTTCTGACCTCATTCTGCTCATTTCAGATGGCAAAAAGGTAGTTCCTAATCTGAAGGACATGGACAAGAAAATCAGGAATGGAAAGCTTAGTCTTCTTTCTGCAAGTTTTAAATCAACACTTGTCCTTTTTTTCTAGCTCCCACTTTCTGAAGTCCTAGCTGTCTTAAAGTTCTAAAAGCTTGAGGATATTTTCTTCTTTTTGGATTCCACCACCGTAGCTTAGATTTCAGTTGCGCCTGTTAAGTCACTTTTCACAATGCATTCATTTTTTAGCGTCCTAAAATATGTCATCATCGCTCATCTGTCACTGTCTTCTTTCCCATCACTTTCATCCTCTGGTGTGCTAATGCCATTTTTATTCCTCACTCGGTTTATTTCTTTGTTTTAGGAGGTTTAAGAAGGACGTACAGATAAATGGGTAAGTTCAACAGGGCAGGTTTGCCAGGACAGTCTTTAAACAAGCAGGAAAGCCAGGTCTCTCATGAGATATCACAGATGTTCCATTTGTAAACTGAGTGAGATTTTTCTTTTCTAGCATAACTTTTGTTAACAAAGAAACTGTTTGCCATTTGAAGATTTTAAAGTCTGTGAGATTTCTAAAAACGACTCACAAAAAATGAATTTAGTCTGATTAAGCGAGTCTGGTTATAACAAACAAAAACTAGGAGCTGAGAGACATCATCTGTTTCATCTGAACTCATACTGAAAGACAAAAGATGCAATTCAGAATCATTTCATAACTTTTCTCAAAAAAATTGCAAGATACGTAAGCAATTCATAATGCATGGCACCATTTTCCAATTCCAATAAGACTTGATATAAACAATGAAATATCCATAATCTACCCATAAACTAAATAAAGAAAATAATTATGGAAGTTTTAAGATAATAATTTTATTTTAAAATATTTTTCATGTGTGACACAAATCATCAAATATATCCTTTCAAATTGTTATTTATTGATTTTACACATGTTTGATATTTAATAAACAGACAAAGTTGAATGGGCTCTAAAGTTCAACAGTCAAGAAATTTTAATATTAGTGTTTATATGTTGGTGTTAATTACTGTTATGTTTTGGTATTAGTTTTTAAAAGCTACATAGTCTTCTTAGAAATGCATTATAAATAACTGAAATGTAAATAAGATCTTTTCTAAAGAATGACCAGAGAAACCCAAGGAGATCAAAAAAATACAAATACCTGAAAAATAATTTATGAAAAATGAATCCCAGACAAGTAAATAAAAATATTTCTTCACTGACAAATATTTAAAGGAAGTATGCATTTATAAAAATATGATCACAGTGTATGAATCAGCTATCATTCAATTTGCCTTTAAACTGCCCACCAATTTGGCTGATATTAAGAGGCTGAGCCATTTGTTTAAAAAAGTGGATTTTTAAGAATTACTCATACAGTTCCTAGATCTGGAATTTGGGTCTATTATTGGTGATTAGACATATTTGGGAAATGGTATATTAGAGGAACTCAAGTGGAACAATGATAACACTTACTCAAAAATCTCAAAACACTCATTAAAAAAAAACAAAACAACAGAGTATTTCACTGAAATCAGGGATTTGTCTATGACTCACCTTATTGAATAAAGAACATTTCCATTCTTGAAAATTCTTAACAGTTTATTGTCTGTAGTGACTTCATGAAAGTTGGCACCCTTTTCATTGGCAAAGAACAAATCAGGTTTCCAAATGGAGTCCAACATGGAAGGGTCTAGGTCTAAAGAGTCATCAGGATATTCACTATATGCAAGGCGAGGATCATTCCATTTCTGACGGAGAAAGATATTCACTCTGTAATCCTATGATAAAAGAAAGAAAAGAAAAAAAAACCTGCTTTAAAAGTTTAGAATCCTATGTGCTATTCTTTGGGCACCTCTGAATTTTAGCAAAAGCCACTGACATCCTTGTGAGCTTTCCATACCCCACAATCCTCACTCATTACTATTGACAAAAGTCATTTTAGTTACAAGGCTTTGCTCATGTTTTTATTCATCTCTATGTCTTTAAAGAAAAGGTCACAGAAGAGTACAATTTTATTATGCTTATATTTTGCCATCCCATTCAAATTTCACTTTCCTGGTTTGTCAGAATAAAATGTTGGATTGCTATCAGACACTTGAAATAAAATATTTTCAGCTTTGCATTTATTTTCTAAAACCATTTCTTTTAGTAGATATCCAATAGCATCCAGAATGCATTTAGTGAAATTTTCTTGAAAGCTGTTTTATAAAAGTGATTATATATGCTTCTTTACAATGAAGACCCATTTCCTCATGTTTAATATAGCATATAAGTTCCATGAAACAAGTGATTTGGAAAAAATAAAAGGTGATTGTAATGAAAGAATAATAAAGTAACATTATTGCCAGTAATTCTTTAAGAAGATTTGGCTGAAGAGTTTTCCCGATTAGACTATTCATAGTTGGCTTAAAAAGGGGAAGAGTCAAAGATTTCAATCAAATTCTTGCTCACAATTTCTGGACTAATGTACAGAATGACATAGATTCATAGCCAGGTATATGTGTGGGTTTTGTACACAAGTATGTGAGCATAAGCACTACCTATGACTTTGTAATTTTCCCCTTAGATTTTTGAAGTAAGTGAATAAATTAAACATGCAGTCTTCGTTATAAGCGTGAGTAAAGTGAACATTTTAGGAAGATTTTATTTCCACGGAAAATAGCCAAGGCTGGAGATATTCAGAGAAACTAAACACCAGTTTTCATCAATTTTTTTATTCCTTGAAAACCAAATTACCAGTTAACAGAATATAATAGCCAAGCAATCACAAAGAATGTCTCCATAATATCAGGCCTGGTAGATTGCTTCTTTTGCAGGGTGGTCAAATTCAGAGTAGTGAACGTTACAAATATTTATGTTCCCTTGATTATTATCTGTGCACTGAGACCCTTATCTTCTAACTGTAACTGAGGTTACATACCAGATAATATTTTTTTTCTGCTTGCTAGGTGCCCCATGTATCTTCCAAAGTGACAATGGAACAGAGTTCACTTCAGCTTTTTACCACAAAGTTCACGATAATGTGGAAATCTCACCAGCCACAAGGATCTGCAGAACCTGTAAATGCGGATATATGAACAAGCTTCTCCCAGCCAAAGACAGGTCATCCTCTCTTAGCCTAGAGTTCAGAATGCCAAGAAGCATAGCTCCCTGGTCGATGGCCAGTTCTTGCATCCCTAATTACTCTGTAGTCTGTGCCTCAACCCTAATTACCGCCAAAGGAATAGGTGATCGGACTGAAGTCAGTTTCTCTCTGCCTTAACTATAGGACAAAATGAAAGCAACTCCAGTTATAATGATACCAGCCAGGAAAAATAACTGACAAGTAAGGAATTTCCTTTGGACCGATTCTTAAGATTTTTTATATATATACAATTATATATAATTGAGACAGTCTGCAAGTGTTCCCCACTGTGAGGCTAAAATAAAAGTACGTTTAAGCTACAGTATATGTAGTAAAATTTGGTTGAGTCTCCTGATCCTATGCTCTTGGTTTAATGATAATTTTATAGACATAATCTTGGATCTTCCAGGAACACTTTTTTTTTTGCTACAGGAATGAGCTAAAAAACAAAACACAACAGAACAAAAAACCCACAAAAACAAAAACCACCCAGGTATCCTTCAGTTTCTGTTTCTAAATTACACAAGGCAGAAATCAACTGTCACCTGTCACCGAGGCCAAATGTTATCCTATATCCATTGTGCTCTTTCTGTGAATAACCAGAAATATCTTTGTTTACAAACACATTTAGGTCTTCGGTTTAGGGCCAGGGTCCAAAGCAAAACTCAAAAATGACCATCTCCTGAAAGCCTAGAAACAGGTTTTAACAGTTCTCACAGTTTGGGTTTTAACCTGCCTGCAAATGAACATTGTTCTGCAAAGCTTCCCTATTAAACAACCAAATTCAGCATTTTGAAAATAAATTTTTAAAGCTTATTCCTCATAGCCAGTGTATCCCATTTATACTGGGCAACCAATATTATTTGTGCGTCCTGATCATTTGTGAAAATGTGCAAAGAGTAAATAAAATGACATAGTCAAATAATGCCACCTAAAAGAAGTCCTTGTAACTTGATTTGCAATAGCTTGCCTATACTAAATGACCGTGAACTAAAGCAGGAAACAATTTTGCAAAATAGAGATAATGGATGTGTATGCAGCCCATGCAAAAAATTTTAAAATAGACTTACTAAAGTTGGTTTAAAATGCAATCATTCCTGACTATATGTAAAATAAAGACTAATTGTTTTATTAATGGAATTCTCCCTATTCACCTGGGCTATGCCCTATGAGGGTGAAAATGTAGAAAGGTTATATGTGAGTAAAAAGAAAAAGACAACAATAAATATGAGATAATATATGTGAAAATGAAATAAATATTTATATTTCACATTTCTGAAAATCTAGACATGTATTGAATTCATTCTTAAGTCTCTTAAGGCACCTAAATTGACTTTTATGTGGAATCATAAAATTTTAGGACAAAGACATTTAATGATTCTTTTCTCTACAAACTCCTACAGTAAAACCTTCAGAAGTTAATCTTATTTTTCATCATTTTTTCATGTTACATAATAAATAATATTTATTATATGTTATACCATATTAGTATCAGCCCTATCTACCGCCAAAGGAATAGGTGATCAGACTGAAGTCAGTTTCTCTCTGCCTTAATTACAGGAGAAAATGAAAGCAACTCCAGTTATAATGATGTTTGTCAGGAAAAATAACTGGAAAGTTGTATGTTAACTACATGTTATATAGTTATATGTATATGTTATACTATATTAGTATATTATTAATATTGTACAGTAACAGTGATGAAATATAGTTCTTATTTCATAATATAAAAAGACGAATTTTGACATTTCAGAAGTCAAAATTTCTTATTATTAGAATAGAAGGATACACTTTATTCTAATTAGTTTAATTTTTTAAGAAAACATTTTGCTGACAAGGTAAAGTTATATTTCATGTTTGGTTTTGAAATAAGTATCCATTAAAATGTAGTTTAAATTGCATCTGTATGTCACATAGTAAATAATAGAACTTACATTTGAAATCTTACGTTATGAGGTACAAAAAATAATAATTCCATTAGGCAAATTGTATAATGGTTTATATACTAGACTCAGGAAGTAAGTCTTCTTAGGATGGAATCTCAACTCTCCCAGTGAGATAGCTTTCTAATCTCCCGTGTCTTGTTTTTTCTTCTGTAAAATAGAGAGAGTTACAATAGTACTTCCTCTCAGACAGGTGCTGTGAGCATTGGCTTGATCCACACAAAGTACTCAGAACTGCACTCATTAAATACTAGCTTTTAGAGCCTCAAAATTAAAATTCATATTAAGTACAAATTTGGTTATTTTTTCTCCTTATAAATTAGTTTTTGAAATAATAGGGGCATTTTGATATGCCATATAAGAATTTGGGGCAGATAATTATAATGTTGAACCTGGTGAATAATATCTTATGGAAAATTTTCAAACCAGTGTGATAAGCTTATCATTAACTTTTTGTATTAACTTTTGCGTTTCAACATTAATATATTTTTGTATTTCCTGTCTTTATTTAATTGCCCCTCCTCCCCTTCTCTCTATATAATTGGTTTGTGTTCCAAGGCCCTTTTCCATAATGGTAAATGTCGCTGCTTACATTTCACTTTGTGCCAGATGTTTTACTAGTTGCTTCGTGGATTACTCCTGCCATCCTCATAGAAAATCTATGAGGTAGGGTATTATTATTTGCCCAATTTTACAGATGCGGACTATGGGACAAAGATAGGCCAAGTAACTTCAACATGATTACAGAGCTAATAGGTGGCAGAGTTGTAATCCAGACCCCTACATTCTGGTTTCAGAGCTTTAAAGGATACATTGCCTTGGATGCAAAACAACTGTTTTCTAAACTAATGCAAAGATTCTGGGTTTATGTGGTTTATGTTTGTGGTTTTTTGTTGTTGTTGTTTGTTTTGTTTCTTTTTTGATTTTTGTAAGGAATTTGGGGGGTTGCTGATCAACATCTTTACTGATAGGAAACTACACGCCCTATAACGAAATGTTATCCAGTTAAATCTAATACATGCCAGGTTGTCATTTTTCCAAAATAGGTACCCTGGGGAAAGACCAAACTCAGTAAAAATCACAACCCAGTGTAGCATCTAAAATAACATAGAATACAATATTCATCTTTGGCTGTATGGGGGAGTATAGGATTGCTAGAAACTAACTAAAATGACCAATTAGAAAAAATGTAAGGAAAATAATCATCAAATGTTAACAAAAGTTGTTAAGTGCTTCTCTTCCCTCCGGTCTACAGTTCAGGTAAGTCTGAAGTTCCCTAGGGCTTTCAGGTCGTTTCCAATCCAGCAGACTTCTCTCACTTCTTCCTTTTCTCCCTGCCTTCTCACTTATTTCCTCCCTGTCCTCTCCTTGCTTCTCTGTTCCTTTCTGTCTCTGTGTCTGTCTTCCTCTTTCCTCCTCCACCACTCCCCCATACACGTACACGCGCACTGCTTCCCAAGTGGTTTTCGGTTGCATCCTTATAGAGCAAAGGAAACAGGTCTTTACAACACTTTCACTATTGATACCTTGATGTCTTTGTTTTTTTCTTTTCTTTATCCTACACATTTCCATGTAGTTGAAATTATATTGGACATGTGTTTTTGCGTCTTTCATTTTCACTTAATGAATTTTATGCATTTTTTGTATTCTTCTTAATCATCATTCCAATAGTTATATGATACATTTTTCTTTTCGTTCTTTTTTAGGTTTT